TGTTTAGTAAAATATAAAATCTTCTTAATTGTTAGATAAAATCTGTAAATTATAGTTTTTTAAATAAGACCATCAGAAGCTTTTGAATTTAGGGGCTTAGCTTACTTATACTTATGGCAATATTAAAATTTCCAGCTTTTGGCAAATTGACTGATCTGCCGGAGTATTGACATAATTTCAAGTAACACTCCATTTAAAGAATTGTGTGTCTGTTGCACAATGCTACCTTTCAAACAGTTTTGACTGTAAAGAAATCTATGTTTTTCTCATTCAAAATGGCGTAAAAACACAATACAATTGCTGGGGTGCACACTAGTTTACAGTGGAAACTTTACTCAAATAAATATAAAATAAAAATGTCCAACAAGGTTTTAAAATTTGAATGAAAATTTTATTTCTTATTTTACTCATGAAAAACCAAAAATATAAAGAGGACCAAAAACTGTGAAATAGTAATAAAGATGACCTGGAATCAAGTTTTGATTTTAATAGTGTATTATGAACATGAAACATGGCAAATGTTAAGTGTAAAACTGTACAGAGATCATTTCACTTAACAAGGAATTTAAAGCTACTAGTAAAACTATTTACTCTGTAACACTACATCAAATACACCTAAATATCAAGCTTTAATTGTTAAAATAGAGCATAAAGTCTTTTGTAATATTTCACCAGTTGTTTCAGTCAGTAGAAGAACCGTTCTTTACAATTACTTAATAACCCGGACAAAACATGTAAAAAAATTATTTTACCAACTAATTTGCTATTTAGGAACATATTTGTTAAAAGAAATTATCGATAAATGCCATAATCGAACTGTATTATCTTTAATTTCATTCTTTTCAAAAATTATGCTGTTTCTATAATTTTATTAGCAGATTTCTTCAAAATGTTGTCTTTTCAATTGAATAAAAAAAAATTATAGCAAGCAACCCAAGCTTAAAGAATCTGCATAAACCTACAAGATTTTAAAGTGAATATTAATAACTTAGTTTCAACCTGTTTTTATGCATGCAACTAGTTTGAAGAAAAATATATGTTTTGTCCATTTTATTGAAGAACTGTAAAACATGTTTCTCCTACTGAAACAACTGGTGAAATATACAAAAGACTTTATTTTTAAACTGCGGAGTAGCTTCCTTTATGCAATTTATTTCTATTCATTATATTAGTGATGATAACACTATTATTTAGATATGTACTTGAAGCATACTTTGTCTTTTTTAGTCCGTAATAGATCATATTTTTTACAAATACAAAGATTTTGGTAGTTTAGATATTTCTTGTTTCATGTCTTTTATTTATCAAAAGCTATTTGAATGTTTATAATGAACGTTTAAAAGGTGCACTTTTGATGCAGAAACATTACAACGATTAAAACTCAAAATTTTACCAGAATAAATGTTAAATATTACTAATAAAACTAAATGTACAAATATAAAATAAACAAACTAAATGTTGTGTAACGTTCAAACTTTGTGAAAAATTTATAAGAAATAATAGAATTAGCAAAAATTAATATTTCTTTAAAAAATCTCAGCTTTATGTTGCTGTTCTTTCTGAAATTCTTCCTGTATTTAAAAATAAAAAAGTTTAAAATATCCCAGATTTTTTGGAATCGTAACTTTTTCATTATTTTATTGAATATTTGGCTTGATCATGGTTTTGGTCATTTTGACAAACAAATGGTTGCTTTTGAGACCCTGTTTTTCATATTACTCTGCAAAAGACAAAGCTTTTGCCAGTCAAATTTTTTATTACCCAAAATCTCTGCAAAATGTTGTTGTAGACATTTGATGTTTCAAAGTATTAATTCTGTCAGAAAAAATATCAAAGTTTTACACCATCAAGTTCTAAAGATATACGGATTAGAAAATGTAGGTTCCTTTTTGCGGGTTTGGAATTTTTTAAAATAATAAATTTAGACATATTTTCCTGGTAAAATGTTTCAAAATTACAGGGTGGCCAGTTTTGTAAAAAATCCGTACAAAAATCAGTACATTATAAAAAAAAACCCGTAAAATCTAAAGAAAAAAAAGAAAATAAATAGAAAAATAATTATTTTAAAAAAAACATAAAAAACATTAAAAAACAAAAAAAATAAAATCCAAACTAAGTATGTTATTTTTCATTTATATTATCGTTCATTCTCCATGTTCACATGTAACTTTTCCAGCAAAGGCTTACCTTAAATTAAATATTCTATTTATTCCTACACAATTATAATGGTACAATTGAAAATCAACGAGAAATGAAATATATAACATATAAAATATAGAATTAATATATAGTCCAAAACAATAAAATAAAATAAAAATAAAAACTTAGTTAGTTTTTACATACATCATCAATAATTACATCTATTTTATCATAGTTAAATCCTTCTAAAACATTTGGATTTGACCGGATTAATAGTAAATCTTTTAACAGTGGAATTCTCCACGCATTTTCAGCCGGATTCGCATAAATCATGTTTGACTTTACTAGAGACTTGTTCAAGGACAGTTTATCTACATAGGTTTCATTTGCGATATTAGATAAATTCTTACATAATTTTGTTCTTTGGTCATTTTTGCATAAATCAAACAATAGTCCGATGCTGAGCTTGTGACTTTTACACATAGATTCGTAAAATTATACAAATCGGCTACACAACATAGTTTTAAATGAATTTGCTCAGAAATTTGTTTAGTAAAATATCTATGAGTTTGTTGTGGCAAACCAAATAAAATATGAATAGCAGTATTCCAAGAAGTATAAAGTTTTACAGTGTTAGCACAAAACAAATCCCATAAGTTAGAACCATATAGACTAGATGCATATATGTTATAAAGCTTAACAAACATTGTAGGTTCAGAAAAATTAAATTCTTGATTCAAAGAGTGAATTATTGATATAAACTTCGCACATTTCAAATTACAATATCTGGTCATAGAATTATCGGATTGAAATAAATTTCCAAGATGTTTAAATTCATCTACATATGGTAATGGGACACCATTTAGAATAATCGGACATACTATCAATATTAGATTTATTGAAAATAACACATTCAGTCTTGGATTTGTTTATGTCCATGTTTGTATTTAACTTCAGTTTACAATTTAGTGCTAATTTCTCACATATATTTGTCATTTCCTGTAACCCATTCCTACTTGGGGACAGAAGAATTATGTCATCAACATAAACCCATATTCCAAGGTATATACCTTGTATTTGACAACCAATCGTAGATAATCTCAACTGTTTTATCAAATCATTTATATAGATGCAGAATAATATCGGAGAACTAACCGCTCCCTGTCTTACTCCATTTGTTACTTGAAAACCATGGGACAGAGAATCAGTCCATTTAACATTGCAAGTTTGGTTCATATATATATGTATGAGACATCTTAGAGATAAAACAAGAAATGTTTCTTTCCAATAGCTCGGGGAACAATTTATCCCAAGATACAAGATCGAACACTTTGGATAGATCCATAGCGCATGCATAAACTGGCCGGCCAGCTTGATTATAGTAATAAATTACCGAGGATATGGCCCAGGAACACATAATTGTACTACAGTTAGGTTGAAATCCAAACTGCAATTCATCACCGGATAGTTTATCCTCATCCAATATAAGTGTTTGCTTTTAAATTTATCTCAGACAAAAATTACCTTTGTACAATACATGTAAACATAAAGGTGCACTGTACAGTTGTGCACTGTGTACAGTTGATAAAGATGAAAAAATTAAATCATGATAAAAAAATAAAGTTTTTTTTTTATTCTCTGAATTGGAATGGGTTTCCTTTTTTGTCTAAGCTTAAAACTCATTATTTAGCAATAATAAACAGCCTTCTGTATTAATTAAGTAATCCTTGACATTACAATTCTATAAGATCTAAAGTTAGGATGATTTTGGTTAAATATTTTCGCTATATTAACCTTCTAGAGAGTGTTCCAACATAAAGGCTGTGATCTTTTGTTGGTTTTAGCTTTGTATTTTTTTCGTGTAATTTATTAATTTAAGATAAATCTGAATTTAAAATAAAATCTTCTAAAGAAATTTCATCTTTAGGAAGAGACTGCATTATAAAAAAAGAAAGGAAGAACATATAAAAATAGGGTTTGCATTCGCAAAACTTTTGCGCAATTTTTGCGGAACGAAGCAAAAAAATTTTCTTTCTTTGCGCATCAGTTTTGCGCGAAAAAACAACAATTTGCGCAATCATTCGCAAAAGTCATTTCGCTCAAAATTGCCCTATTCCGCTTTGCGAAACTCGAGTTTTGGGCAATTCCGAAATTTCGTAAAAATCAAACGGTTGGGGACGGTGTGTGTTTCTTAGAATTCAATTCTGGAAAAATCTTGTTTTGGTATGTCTTCCTATTGGTCACTTTTACATAATTGACCAATGAGAGTCAAATCTCACAATTTTCTCGACAATTTTAGTTTTGGACATGCATATTTCCTAAAAGTGGATTCTTCAGGCTTTGGTTACTTTCTTGCATTTTTTTATGTGAGATTAAAAAGATTTCAGAAATTTGATTAAACAAATTTAAGAATATAATTCATACTTGATTAGGCAAAGCTTTTAAAGGTCACTTGAAATTATTTAATAGGATTAAAATATTGCCAAGTTTCACACTCTCTAATTTCTATTTTATCAATTTTGGTCGCTTAATTTAAACTTTTTGTAACTGGAAGTAACCAATTGAGTTTAGTATAATCGTTATCATACTTGTATGTTAATATTTTTTTATGTATGGAATAAATCTTCAGTTGTTTAATTCTAAGCTTAGAATATCAATTTTTGACAATTTGCCTAAC